AGAAGAGACAGGATTTCGCCATGTTGGCCAGGCTGGTCTCTAACTCCTTACCTCAAGCAATTCACCCACCTCGGCCTCCGAAAGTGCTGGGATTACAGGCATGAGTCACTGCACCCAGCCTCTGAAAAGGTTTAAGACTACTATTTTGGAATGAGGAGGGACTTTGGTAAAGTTTTATTTAGAAATGATGATGTTTTGTTGCCAATCTTAGGAAAATATCTTTCTTGATTAGTTACATGATACAGATTTTTCAAAGATAATGTAAAGATAACTTTAAAATTTTTAATTACGAAAATGTTGGCTTATGTTATGATTTTTTCACTGATAGGTTTGATTTATCCTGTGGGTAGAAAAATATATACGCATCACTGCCAGTGTTGGATCTGAAATCAAGAGTATGTTAGACTTATATATATACTCAGATAAAACTGCCTTGTCCCAAATTAGGGCCATTTCTAGTGGGTATGTTACATTCAACTTAAAAAGACAGAGAAGACAATTTTATAATATATACATATTAAATACAATTATTTTAGCACTCTTTTCAAATACAAACTTATCAGTGACTCAGAATTGTAGAAAATTAACCTTTTTACGTCTTTGTTTTTTATTCAGGTGAATATACTGAGTAAAATAGTGAGTCGAGCAACACCTGGACTTCAAAAATTTTCTAAAACAGCCAGTATGCTCTGGCTTCTTCAACAGGAGATGGTCACATGGAGGCTGCTGGCTTCTTTGTATAGGTAATGGTGTCTAGAATTCATAACTGAAATAAACATAAGGTAATAAACCAACAGGCAAATTAATTTAAAAGTTAGGGCATGCTTAGAAATACGTTTTGCTATTTTTGATGCTTATCATTTCTAATACCTTAGTTGTCAGGAGTGAGTTATGAGGGAAGAGAAAGATGTCAGATCATAAAGCTGATAGTTACCAAAATTGGATATGTGTAAAGATTTAAGGAAAGTACTAAAAATAGTGCAGTACTTAGGCTAAATTAAGAAAAGATCTGAAAGGTAGACTTCATGTAATTTGGAAGTTTGAAAGAACCCCAGAAGGCAAAGATTATACCATGTACACATCCTCGAATCTAGGAACTTTATGCCTAGAAATTTAACCTAAGGAAATAATCAGAAATCTGTACAACCACATATGAACAAAACTTTTAAATCTCAAAAAATTGAAAACTACTACTAAGGAATCGGTTAAATGATAGCAGCTCTATTACATCCAGAATAACTTGCAGCCATTTTAAATTACCATTTGTGGGCTGGTCACATTGGCTCATGCCTGTAATCCTAGCACTTTGGGAGGCCAAGGGCGGTGGATCACTTAAGGTGAGGAGTTCACAGTCAGCCTGGCCAACATAGTGGAACCCTGTCTCTACTAAAAATACAAAAATTAGCCAGGTGTGGTGGTGGGCGCTACCATCCAGTTACTCGGGAGGCTGAGGCAGGGGAATCGCTTGAACCTGGGAGGTGGAGGTTGCAGTGAGCCAGATTGTACTACTGCACTCCAGCCTGGGTAACAGAGTGAAACTCCTTCTCAAAAATAATAATAATAATAATAATGATAATTGCTGAGGGCAGTGGCTCACGCCTATAATATCAGCACTTTGGGAGGCCGAGGCGGGTAGATCACCTGAGGTCAGGAGTTCAAGAACAGCTTGACCAACGTGGAGAAAACCCCGTCTCTACTAAAAAAAAATACAAAATTAGCCGGGCGTGGTGGCACATGCCTGTAATCCCAGCTACTAAGGAGGCTGAGGCAGGAGAATTGCTTGAACCTGTGAGGCAGAGGTTGCAGTGAACCAAGATTGTGCTGTTGCACTCTAGCCTGGGCAACAAGAGTAAAACTCCATCTCAAAATAATAATAATAACTTAAATAAATATATAAATTACCATTTGTGTATATTCATTGACATGGAAAGATATTCATGATATATTGTTATATGAAAAAACAGATTTCATATTACTATATAAATGATGTCACCCCCCCGCCTTTTTTTTT